ACAACGACAAGCTGGATAACCTCACGTCTGAGATTAGAGGTATTAAGGCAGCCACGAAGTCGAATCTTTAAAGCCTAAGAAATGAAATTCTGGAGGAAACCGCAAAACTGAACTCCTGCTGGAACGATCTGAGCCGCAGAGTGAAAACCCTGGAGAAACAATCGAAAGATGACGAATTAGCGGCAGAGATCATGTGCATTACTAGAAGGATAGAGAAAGTGGAGGAGAGGGCGGATACGGAAAATACTATGAGAGCTCTCTCTGAATTTAAGGATAAGGTGAAGTCCCTAGAAAAGATAATGAATACTCAAGAGAGAGAAATAAGGAGAAGAAATCTGATAGTCAAGGGACTTCGCCTAAAGGAGCAAAATTTTAAGGGGCAAATAGAAGAATTCCTTCAAGATACCTTCAACTACGACGGAGGTGTGGAAGATGCCAGACGGCTAGGACCTGGAGGAAACCCTGTGAAAGTCATCCTCCCGTCGGTGGAAGTTAAGGAGGGCATCATAAGGTCCAAAGGAGCGAAACTAAGGGAAGATCCATTTACCTGGAGGAGGATTATACCCAAAAAGATAGAAGCACGGCATTTAAACGGAGGGAAATCGCCAGAATAGAAAGAGCTAAGGGCGCTAAAACAGCCGTTAAGGGAGGCTACATCTGTATCGACAACGTCTGGTGGCGTTGGAATGAAGAGACTGGGCACTTAGAGAAAACGAGCAAAACAACATACAAGGGCCCTCAATAATAACCAAGTCCCTTGCAAGCTGTCCCTAGAACTCAAGAAAACGCACTTCCCGAAGATGTGACGCAACAGCGACAGAGTTCGGAGATACGACCGTCCAAGCCAAACCTAGCTTCCGGACCAACCGGAGCGACGGTCTGTGCCCAGGGAACCGTAACCAGGCCAAAAAACCGAAAAACTTCAAAAAATGCAACGAGCAGGCTGTACTGAAAATCATCTTCTGGAATGCGCAAGGAAGCAGGAACCTGTGGCGTAGCAACGTACACAAACAAGCGGACATAGCCTGCATATCGGAAACATGGTTGTCACAAAAACCAACCAACACGGCAGGCTCGTGGAAAAATCATATAATTTTCTGGGCAAACGTAATAAAGGACAAGACCAAAGGGCGGGCCAGTGGCGGCTTAGAAACTATGATACAGAACGAAGCGGCTCGGGCAGAAGTAATAGGGCAATCGGACTGGTGGATCTTTGTCAGGCTACAGCGAAACACTTCAGTACTTATTATAGGATTAGTATACTTCACCCCCCGTCTCAGCTTATTCATGATGCTTAAGCTCTTTAGGAACTCCATTACTGACATACAGCAATGTTACGAACACGCATTAATAGTCATTGGGGGGATTTTTACTGCAAAGTGGAGAATTTAAATTCTATCTCGGGGGAACCTATTACCTCTTCAAACCTTTATGAGTTTAGAACCACAAATGATACAGTTATTAACTCGCGGGGAAGGGAACTGGCGGAATTCATGGAGAGCGAGGGCTTCGTGTTACTAAATGGAAGATGCCACAGCGATAGGCCGGCGAAAATAACGTTTTGCAGCGGAGTGGGCTCAAGTGTTATCGACTTGGTCTTTGTAAATTCAATCACCATTACTATAATTGAAAATCTATATGTAATGAACATGGTAACACTGTCCGATCACTTCCCTGTTAGCCTAGATCTTAAAGTCGTCGGTTCGGAACGGGTACGCGAAGCGGTTAACTCTGAAAGTATGCTGCAAGGAACAAAAAGGCTCAAATGGAATCCGGCTGCTAGAGAGCAATTTAAGTGTTCTATGGAATACTCCGCTCACATTCAAGTAAATTTTGATTCAAGTAGCATGGAAGAAATATCGTCCAGACTAGTTGAGGCAATAACTTTGACAGTGAGCGCATGTGAGATGACTCACTGGAACCGCGGGAATCTGAGAAAAATCAGGAAGGACAGGTGGGTTGACAAAGATTGTTGAAGAGCAATGACGGAATTAGGTCACACACTGAAAAAATGCAGAGATTCGAAGTTCCAAGCCGAAGATAAAACAAACTATATAAATGCGAAGAAGCGATACAGAAACCTTACGCGAACGAAAAAGAAAACCTATGAGCGGAATATAACAGACCGACTAACAAACGTTTTCAATGTCCCTGATTTTCGGCCACAATAAGATCTCTCACGGTCAAACCAGATTGCGACAGCCCTGTAGATGGTAACATGTGGAGGAGATTCTACGAGAGCACTTTCCCTTCGAAAATGATAGACAATACGACCTTCTTTGGTGTCGCGCACCCAATTTTGGACTCGGAAATTACGTGGGAAGAGTTGAATAAGGCTAAGAAAAACCTCAAAGAAATAAAACTCCAAGCAAGGACCAAGTAACAAACGAGTTTTTGAAAGCCCTGCCCGACAACTGGCTCCTATACTTATTGGCGTTTTTTTAATAAAGTCCTGAGGGAGGAAAAAGTACCAAAAAGATGGACGGAAATAGTCAACATCATGATATATAAGAAAGGGGACAAAACAGATCCACTGAACTATAGGGGAATTGCTCTCGTGAACTCCATCCCCAAGTTATTCACAAGCATTATTAAAACGCGATTACAAACATGGGCAGAGAACCTTAAAATTATCCCGAAGAGTCAAGCGGGCTTCAGAGCGGGTAAAAGCTGTGTTGACAATCTATTCATCCTGCAATCGGTGCTTCACCTCAGGACAAGGCACAGAGGTGCTGAGGCTTTTGTCGCTTTCGTTGATTTTCATTTTTGGAAATCGAGATCACGGAAGGTGTTCTCCAGGGAGAGATATTAAGTCTACTACTTTTCACTCTATTTTTGTATGACATAGAAACGTACTTTAGGCGCAGTGGTCATGTGGGATTAAGTATAGACGGAAATACGGATGTTTTACTCCTGGCGTACGCTGATGATCTCGCCATCCTTGCTTACTCCCCTGTCGATATGTGGAAGAAACTGAAAAACTTAGAAGTATACTGTAAGGAGAACGGTCTAACAGTAAATGAGAACAAAACAAAAATTTTGAGGTGCAAGAAAAACGGAAAGTGGAAAAAATTAGAAAACAAATTCAAGTTTAACTCGAAGGAGTTGGAACTGGTAAAATGTAACACTTATTTGGACGTTCCTATCGCAGCCTCAACTTTAGGCTTGAAGGCGGCAACTCATGCATTAACCAAGGCAAAGATAGCGACGGAAGTGGTGTTAACGAGGTTACGGAGAGGAAAAGTGAATTCCATAAACCCTTTCGAAAAAATGTTTGATGCGGTTATAGAGCCAACCCTACTATATGCGGCGATCATATGGAGCCTGAGATATCTGGACCTGATTGAAAAAGCCCAACAAGATTACTTTAAGCGTGCCCTTCATGTCCGGAGAAACTGTGCATCCCTCGAAATAAGAATTGAGTTGGGCAGAGTAAAAATTGCCTATAAAGTACTTGGTCTGGCGTACTCCTGGGTTATTAGGGTACTGGAATTAGAGGAAGAGAGATGGCCACGAAAATGCCTTGTAAGGCAGATCGGAATGCATAAAACAAGAGTAACTGAGCCAAAGTACAACTGGTTCTCGCAATTCTTTTCTTTTATCGAAAATGCAAACTTGATCTCCCTGCAGAACGTTTCCAAACCCATGCCGTGGAAAGCTAATAAATGCGAATTTCTAAACTGGTACCGGTTAACTCTTTCGTTACCTTGGACGAGATATCTCGCGACCCAATACTGGCCGATTAACGCTTTTGACGAGATATCTCGTGACCCGGTAGTAGCCGATTAACGCTTTTGACGAGATATCTCGCGACCCGATACTGACCGATCAACGCTTTTGACGAGATATCTCGCGACCTGGTAGTAGCCGATCAACGCTTTTGACGAGATATCTCGCGACCCAATACTGGCCGATCAACGCTTTTGACGAGATATCTCGCGATCCGGTAGTAGCGGATTAACTAGATTATCGTCAAGAGCGTTAATCGGCTACTACCGGATCGCGAGATATCTCGTCAAAAGCGTTGATCGGCCAGTATCGGGTCACGAGATATCTCGTCAAAAGCGTTAATCGGCCAGTATTGGGTTGCGAGATATCTCGTCCAAGGTAACGAAAGGGTTAAACTGATAGAAACAGACATCATACAATACCGCACATCGTCCTCGATGAATTTTAAATTAGAAATAAATAATAGCGCGAACCCAGCGGAATATTTTCGTTACTCAATGCCGTTTAAAATGATCAGGGTATGGGCACAGCTGAGACTCTCCACTGTTTATATCTGCGGAATTTACATAGGAAATAATTTATATAAATTACCGGATCAGCTCTGTCTGATCTGTAACAAGAAAGCGAAGGATACGATAATTCATTTTCTTTTGGACTGCCCAACGCTAAAGTTTCTTAGAAGTCATTATTTGCCCCGACGTTTCCACGGCACAGATGCAGTCAGCAATAGCGAGAAGGACCACAAAAGTACTCTATTCTCGAAAAACAATAGGAAAACCGTGAAAGCAATGTTCTACTATATAGCCGCAGCCTGTAAATTAAGGTCGTTTTGTCTCTGCGAATAGCAGGCGTTTTAACTATTATACCCGTTACAAGAAGGAAACCATTTTTCTACAAACTTAGTCCCCCTTGTCACCAGAATGTACTTTCTTCAGGGACAGTAAAGCATTCATTTATTCATTCATTCAAAGAGGAAGTATAATGGTAATGTTCATTATTTATTTCGCTCAAATGACCTTGAAAATTAACTTCAAATATTATCATTACACTTCCCCCTTGATATCAAGCAACTTTTATTTGACACTTTCTTTTCTAAAATGCTTTATTCGCCGTGTAGGATGGTGTTTTAAGTTAAATGCCTCACCCGGTATAGTAAATTCACAGTGGTGAAATTAAGTAAAATTAGTCACTGAATTTTAATGAGACCATGAGTTTTACCTGATAAATAAATGCAATACTATACATTCACACAATTCAAAAAACAATCATACCTGCTGTGTTTAATTTTGTCAGGTTGCGGTCTAGGCGCTGGGGTCGGTGATCTGGTTTGAAATTGCCAAGAAACAAGACTACTATGTGAAATTCCGCTATCGGAAAGGCAGTGTAAATCTCTTTCTTGTTCTGCCGCAATTTCCCTCTCCAGTTGTACTAGCCCCGGAGGTTCTACGGAATATCTTGCAGCAAATCTGGCAACTTCCAGCAAACAAAGTATTACGTTTCTGGGCTGACCGTGAAGCACTGAAAAATGTTAAGAGTAATTAGAAATCACTGGACGGTATTAATATTATAAATCATAGAATTCGCATATGAGAAGACTGATATTAATTGTGCCTGTACTTAAATGATCTACATTTTTAAGACATTTTTATTTTTATTACAGGAATTAAGGTGAAGTGAAACACCCTTCAAATCAGTCGATTCGAATACAACACTTTTTTTTAAGGGTATTAGACCAAACTGTCCGAAACCTTGACACATCACTCCTGATCATCTAAGAATTGTCCTGAGACGTTCAAAATTTGGATTTTTAACAAAATTTTTTAACTCAGCCCAGACCAGAACCAAAATGGCGTCGAGCTCTCATATTTCGATCGATATACAATTATCGAAGGCTCCGATATGAGAATCGAAAGGGTCAGGACAATTTGACGACAATTTAGAACACTCTGGTAATCGATAAACTCGCATTTGAACGGGATAAGGGCAAAGATAGAGTTGTATGCGCTTCTATGCTAAAACGATGGTAATACGGGGTCTCGGAGTGAAAATTTAATTGACCTGGAATTCACAGATGGCGCAGGGGGTCCCTGTGCAGTCAATTGGGGCCCCAGAAAGCTTGAATCCAGAGGATTTCTGAAGTTTTACTTCGATTTCTTGATATTTATTGTACGAAAACGACAGGTGGAGTATGCCATTTAATTCAATACCCAATATAATTCTACCCAGCTGTCAATATAAAATTGAACGTCGGCAACGTAGGCATTTAGAAAAATCTTCTTTATCGACGTTGATCAAGTTCCTCGACGTGTTTCACTTCACCTTAACAACTTGCGCTATAAAGACGTGCCACGCATGTCGAGATGCTTATGTTCCAAAACTGCCAGCGACATGTATACAACGTCGTTGGGCATTTGTCGCAGGAACAAAATCGACGTGTCCGGCACGTCGGCTAACAGTTGGATCGTTCATTATTCGAGCTACAGTTCCAGATTGCACGACATCGCGTAGCGTCATCGATATCTTGGAAATATTTCAGAATCGATAGGGTATGTTGTACGGATGTTATACCGCACGTTATATTGTAGAGCGCGGCACGGCAACCGAAAATTAAATCGTAGCTCAAGTGGTTAAGACACGCAAAGCTGTACTTCAATTTAAAGGATAGGACAAGGGAACTTCACACTTTTCAGAAATAAAGATTCGATATTGCGGGAAAGTTGAATTTCGAAAATCTAATCGGAAACACGGTCGAAAGTCGGAATTCGTCCCGATTTTAGCCTGTCGAGGAAATATGAAATATTAAATTATTACGATCGTAGAGTCTCGGGAAAATATAGATTTTTCGCACCGCGGCACTCGCTCTACGTTACGCGGTGTGGATACGGGCCGTTCGGCCCCAAGGGAGAAGGAGAGGAAGTGCACGCACGCAACGGTTGATGAGGACGGCCCTCTAGCCGCCTCACGGCTTCCTCGCCCGTTGATCCGTCAACTTGAAGTTTTCTGAGATACTGGCCGGAAAGCCAGTTACTTTCTAATGCTACTCTTGGACTTCACTTTTGGGAGGAACTAGGATACGCGAGTCCCGCGTTATCCAATTCGGGCCGGCGCACAGTGGGCCAGAATCCCAAAATCCTGTCCAAAACTCGAAAAACCAAGTTCGTTATATTCTGTTTTAATTCACATAGTTTTGTAAAACAGGGTTCCCTGCGTGTAATACTGGAACTACAGCTACCTAGGTTTTATACCTGCCGTTCTACCTCAGTTAGAACTTGGCCACCATCAAGTGCGTAACGGTACGTGAATCGGTCCCGAAATACTAAACGTTCATGTGTTGTGAATGTTTGTTGTCGCAGGGTGTGGTTTTGACTAAAAAAATAGAGGCTACTCCTGAAAGTATGTAAAATATTATTTAGACATTCAAATTCAATTTTTTTTATATCTTATTATGGTAAATAAATATTCACTCTGCGCTTGTAATACAATCGCACGTGCTAAGGTAGCGAAACAAAAGTAGGAAATAGTTTGTATCTAAAGAGATCTAACTCTAATTTACAATTTAACATGTAGGAGATGTTAGTGGAATAAGAAATTCATAAAAATTAGGAGCTAGAAACTGCTTATTTCAGTGAAATATGCAAAAATAGAAACGCGCGTCCAGTAGAGCGTTCTCGGAGCAATTCTAACTGTACCTGCGTCAAAGCAGGTATTCATTCTCGATATAATAGCAAGTCCTAATCAAAGGGGAAAATATATATATCTGGTTTACACTATTGACCAGTGGAAGGGGAAATATAGGGGGTCCCAATTTTTCGTGAAATATATTTTTTTACTTTATAATAGTTGAACCGTTTTGTAGTCATTTAATCACAAGTTTTTGTTTTGATTTTCAGAGTCACGTACCACGGAACATACATGTGCATACAAGGATTGTTTCAATGCGGTACAGGGGAAACTGAGTTTAGATTTAAACGAGCTGCTTACATTGCTAGAAGAGCATATTAAGAATTGTTTGACTGAAAACACAAAAAACCGATTAAAAAAATTCCTTTCATACATGAAAAATAAATGGCAAGAATCACGTCGAATGACGAACCAATTTTTAAATAAAAATGAAAATTGGTTAAAAACTTCTATGACTGTTGAGGTGAATATATTTTCTTCTGAGTTTTTATTGCTATCTTTGTTTTTATCAATTTTTAAAATCTTTCGTTTGTTACGAGGTTACCCGATTTTTCTTTAAAATAGAGAGGCGTGCATTACATTAAGTATGAGCCAGCTACCGGAAGTTAAACATCGAATCCAAAGCAACGATAATATCATCTGATTAAAGCGGAAAAATAACAACGAGTGGAGCAATTATCGAGGAATGTTTTGGCTTATTCGCACGCCTTCCGCACCGAACTGTACTCTGGACCAAGACACGGGGCCTACTCATCCGTCAACACAGTGACTTCCTGAGCACGTCCGATCAAGCCCCTAACAACAAAATCCAAAAACAAGGAAATTGGACCCTGTCCTAACGAACATCTCAAGGATGAGATCTCGTATAAAAACGGCACCGAAAAGAGCACGAGGCAGTTTAAAAGTTCATTCTCAAAGATTCAGTCTGAGGGGAAAGTCTGAGACGATCAGTCAGTCCACACTCTGTGTGACTGGGGTTCTCTGAAGAGCTGACCGTACTGTAGTAACAGCTGTGCGTTTCGGTACTCCGTCATCCACGAGCCAACAGTGAGAAAAACGACGGCGCTGCAATTTCCGGACCAGCGGGAGAATCTTAGGAAGCTCCAACCCTAGGGCACACCCTGGTTTGAAGGCGTTCACGTGCAGTTCATCGCAACCAGTAGGACGTAGGAGAGACGTCACCGGAAGTACAATCCTCTGCGAAGCCAAGGTACAGGTCCTCTTTAAAGAGCTCCACTCTTTCACTTTTGCATCACTCTATTTCGAACCCTATTCCAAATTACTAATCCGCAACAGAATTCGGTAGTCACCTTCCGGTAACGACTACCAAATTCTGACTCCTCACAGTGTAAATCGCAACTCATTAGCTGCCCTTGCTGAGTAAGGCAAAGCGCACCTTGCAAGCAAAGAATCTCACATTAGCGTTCCGCAATTGATACACAGACATATATCGTTACACTTCCGCGAGCCGCTAGCGCGAGGCCTCCAACGTCCTTGTCTCGTCTCGCGATGATCCGCTTAGCGCAGTATATTTTTTGCACACCTTACCCCCATGGACTTTATACCCCTTGCATCATAAATAGAACTGTTTCATTCAATATAAAACGTCGACTTCATTCTCACGAATCCTTAAAACCCTCCTGTGTCTTCATTGCAACTCTCCATCCACCCTTTAGTTAGAGTTTCGCAGTGAATAGAGTTGCGGATTTTTTGACGTTATTCGAGTCATAAATTTCAGTACCGATTTCGAGTAAAGTTTCGCCAACGACTTCACCGTCATTTCCGTTCGCGGGTGAAATTGCGTCTAAGTTCTTTTAGAGTCACTGCGTCATGTGTTCTACTGTTCCTCGCGGACGGAGGGCGAGGAAGCCGCTAGGCGACCACGTGGTGGTCGCCCGCTTCACGTTCCGTTCCACGTGAGGCATAAGTCCTCATGTTTGCACCGCATATCGTTACTTTTGAAAATTGATTTCAGTCGTAGTATTTTGCGTATTTATGTCGGTCTTTAATTCTCTCCAAATTATGGAATCAGCTTGGCTTAGGAATAATTTTCCTGTGCCTTGTGAGGCTAACTGCCTTAATTTCCGTTATCTTTGATTTTCACGATAAATGGTCCCAATTCTCGGTAGATTTCCCTCAAAAGTGAACTAATTTTTATCGTTTATTTAATTGTATTGGGCGCATTATCAGCATTGGATATGTATCCTGTGTTTTCCGTGATTTTATGTGAAATTGTATTTTTCACTGAATATTTCCGATTTCGATACCGACTATCTTCTCTAGTTGAATATAAAGCGGACCTCTTTAGTACTTTGAATGCCACGTGCATTTTATTTGGCTGGTATGTCACCCGAATGTGGGTGACGCGGCAGTCAACTTGTTAAGTGAGCGAGTAATTTCGACGGATTTACGAGAATGAGTTAATCGAGACATCCCTAAAGTTTGGTGAAAGGGTTGGGTTAAGTTCCATGGAAGGGTAATTCGAACCTGCATGTTGAAGGAATTTGTAGAGCAACTACCTTAAATTGAGCCATTTCGCTGATTGTGCGATGTAAGGATCGCGGTCCCTTCGCGATTGATACACTACTGTACTACCGGGAGGGGGAGCCCCTGATAGTGGGGACTAAGTAATCATATTAGCGAAATTGCTTAAATTTCTCTCTCTTGCCTGATAGATCACCGATCGCTCGACCAGCTGACCCTGCGCCGTGACCCGACGCCGGAGCCGAACATGAATATCGCGAGGACAAATTCGAGAGAAGTCCAACATCCAGCCCAGCGAGTCTGGAATCCAGGCCGACTAATCTGGAGCCACCAAGGTCCGCCACCTTCACGAC